TGCGCATGCGCAGCTCCCCTCGGCCCCGTCGCCTCAGTCTCAGCAGCAGCGCCCTCCGGTTTCGCGGACTCTTCCCCGGGCCTCCTGCCCCGTAGTCACTGGTCCTGCTGCCCCCTCGGCCCCCGCAGCCGCCTCTGGTGCTGAGGTCTGGCGGGGCTGCAGCCGGCATCCCCGGCCGTTGCCCCCGGCCCTCTCCCTGCAGCGCTCCCGCCTGTCCGGCGTACAAATGCAGTGATTTACCTCGGGGGATGCGATGAGGAAAGGGCAGGTCCCAGCTGAGGCTTTACTCCCTCACAGGCTCTTGGAAAATTACACTCTTGGAAAATTACACTCTCTGCTCTTTTACACTACATACCGTAAAGTAAAATGAACAAGAGCTGCTTTTGTGCATCTAAAATTGCTTTGACCCTGTGTCCCATTAACAAAGTGCCCTGACATGCAGAATTTTGAAGGTGAGGTCTGGATAGGCAGAAAATTTCAGAGCTGTTCATATGTGGATTTGTATCTCCCAGTGAGGTTCGGTGGTGTTTTTTCACTCTTACCCCATGTATGGTACTGAAAAATCTCTGATTTTAGCTAGGCAGTCAAATAAATACACTCTACATCTTGGAAACGTTTGAACAGTTTTTAAGTGGACCAAGTGCACAGGTGATAGCACCCTAGAAATTAATACGTGGCAGAGGAAGAGTCAGTTGTTCTGTTTATCTTGGTGTTTGCCAGTCACCCCTCTTTTAATAGAAAGCATCACAGTTTGGGTTTTTTTCAGTAGAGATGCAATATTCATTTTTCCCTTAGTTCATCACATGGCAGTAACTACTGTTATGGTCTCAAAGAGGTCAAAGCATGTTCAACTCGAAGCTTAATAAAAATCAGAATGATTGTGTTTATAACAACTTAAAAGTGTAATGAAAAATAAAATGAATTTTTAATAGGAAGGAAGAAGGAAATGCAATTACATTTTTTTTATGTTTAGCTGTTTATCAGGCTCTCTGGATGCAGCAGAATATTAACTTCATGTCTCTTACGTTTCAGAAGTCACCACAGTAACAGTAGCCAACGTTGGTGCCTCCGCAGACAATGTTTTCACTACATCTGTGGCAAATGCAGCTTCAATTTCAGGACATGTGCTGGTAAGTCTGTCCTGTCATTTGAGGGCCTTAGTAAAGTCTCACGTACTTTCTTAGTGTAAATGAAGAGCTCGGTTTGTGATGGAGCTGTAGTAAGGTCAGAGATACATTTTCATTGCCGTATACAGGCTTTTAATACAAAACTATTAGCTGGGGCACATACATTTTTTTCTTTATCACTTGAAGAGGTCTTTTTACCCTTCCACCCCCATATACTTGTTCTGTAATGGAACTGATGACCTGGAACATGGAACCTTTGAACTTGGTTGGCCGAAAGCTCAAAAACTAACCTAATAACTGCCATACGGATTGGTGTTTTAGAATACCTTTGAGAAGATTTGAGGGAATACTAAAATACATTGGTATTTTAACTCTTATCAATTTAAACTCTTTATTTCTTCTATAGTCTGGGAGAACAGCCCTCCAAATTGGGGACAGCTTGAATACTGAAAAAGCCACTCTCATAGTGGTTCACACAGACGGCAGCATTGTAGAAACCACAGGGTTGAAGGGGTCATCAGCACCACTCACGCCAGGTACAAAGCAATCTATTTTTGAAATGCCATTGTTCCAGAGGGCTCGCTTTTTCTCCATTTTACTTGTGTTGCTAGGATTAAAAAACATTATGTACATAATATTATGCAGTTGCCTTATAGAATTGTTTGTCCCCCCCTTCACATGGTACTTCTTGTGTTTCTTGGGAGTAGAAGAATGTTTACTTTTTTTTTTCCTGTCAGAAATATATTTCATTTTCTTATTCTTTGCCCTAACGCTTGCAAATAAGCTTCTTGAAAAATCTTGCCCTGCTGCTGGGCTGTCATTTGCCTTTCTACACCCATCCCGCCCCCAAAGGCAGATGGATCGTTTTAATATCGATAATAAAAATGAATCTCCGAGTTCTGCACGTAGGTTCTTTTTAAAGGGTCCTTGAATATAGTTTTATCTCCATTCATGCCCCTTGCTGATTTAAGTGTCGCGATAGCTGGTGTCTTTATGGCGAAGGTTTTTTCACGGGTGCTTGGCAGTTTCCTTTCTGCCCAGGAGGTGGCAGGGCAAACCTTCAGCGGTCTAAAACAAATTACAAGATCGGCCTCTGGGAAGAGGAAGATCCAGCCAGCTGCTTATGCTCCAGGTTATAACCTCAGCATTTAATGCGCTGTTAGAGCATCTTTCTTAAGATGCAATTTGCTTGATTTTCAGTCATTTTCAGAATGTTCAAGCGGAATTTTTTGTGGTGCACCATGTAACTGGCATTGCTGTGGAGAGGTGTCACCTGCTTCAGTTAACCGCTTGACCCAGTTGCCCTAGCCAAGCTGAGCATGCGAAGGTATGTATAGCCAACGTGCCTTTTGGTTGCTGTCACCTTTCTTGTCTTTTTTTTCAAAGGACCGCAATCTCCTCCTACCCCTTTAACATCCGTCCAAGAAAAAACTGGAACCAAGTATAACTGGGACCCGTCTGTCTATGAGAACGAGCTCCCAGTGAGATGCCGGAATATCAGTGGCATTCTGTATAAAAACAGACTCGGCTCAGGTAACAAAAACCTTCTTGGATGGGGAAGTGTGATGGCTCCTTCTTCACTCGGTACACTCTTCTTTTAATCGGGCTACTTTTAAGGGCTGACTGTGAGGGGAAAAAAAGACAGTTTCCTAGCCAGCCTAGTCCCTCTTAATATTACTGTTCTCTTCCTTTTTGCTCTTTCTTCAGAGGCTTTTTAACTTTTTTCTTAAATCTCTGAAGATACAGGTGACTGTGCAGTGAGTCTCCCCGGTAATAGGTTGACTCCTCTAACATTCATTTTGTCTCAGAAGTAGACCTGTGTTTCCACAAAGCTCTACAGAATCCCTGCTGGAACAGAAAATAGAGAACTTGTCTCCTAATGGGACTCTCTAGCTGCCTTAGCCCCTCCTCTTCTCATTTATCTCGGTGGGAAAGCTGAAGAAGCAGCAGCAGAAATTGTGTGTCGGCAAGCCTGACTGGACAGGTCAGTGCTTTCTTCGTGGCTAGAGAGTTTGCTTCACGACCAGAAGGATTAGAAATTTAAGTGCTTATTAAGGAAGGGCTTATATTCATGGTGTTTATCCAGGAGAGACTTACCCTTCTTGTGGATGGGTAATTTTTTCTAGCCTTTTGATGCACTGACGAGGCCCGAAGTTGGAGCTCTCAAAACATGCACAGTCATTGCCACAGCCAGGATAATAAATGGGCATGGTTATCCTAGAGCGATGAGAAATGACAGATGGGCATATTTGGTGATTGTTATAGATTAACTGCTATTTTTTGCAGCAATTTCAGTATTTACTTCTTTAAGGAAGTGGCAAAATGATTCTTAACTTTTACTAACAATTTATTTCTTCTGTTTTATTTCAGGAGGCCGTGGTAGGTGCATTAAGCAAGGAGACAACTGGTACAGTCCCACTGAATTCGAAGCTATGGCGGGACGAGCCAGCAGCAAAGACTGGAAGAGGAGCATCCGCTACGCTGGGAGGCCACTGCAGTGCCTTATTCATGTAAGGTTAAGTTTGCTTCCTCCTTTCTGCTGGAAGGGGCCAGCAGAGTCTGGGCAGAGTCTGCCCAGCGCTGCAGTCCAAGCCATGTGTGCTGCCTCTGCAGAATTACGGATGATGGTGCCGTAGGGCAACTCGGAAGCAGCATCTGGATTTGGTTGAGGATCAGTGAAGTGAGAGGAATTTTTCTAGATGTGTTTTCAAATAACATGATAGAAATCTTGCTTTTACTTGAAACGGGGTTACAGTTCATGCAGGATGAAGTGCAGCCTTGAGCTATATCGCAGAAACTGAGAAGTAAGCTCTCACGCGTGATACTGTAATTCAATAGCCTCATCTGCTTAATTCTGTTTGCCTGACAAACATGTTCTTCACTTCCGCCACTTATTGAGTATTGCTTTGGGTCCTTTATTTCCTGCAGTGTCCAGGAGTCTCATGGAGAGTTTGGCATTGCCATTAGGTTGACAGTTGATTTCTAGTTGGGCAGAAACGTTACAGTCTCAAATCCACATATCTGTGCCTTTTGATTTGAAAGTTGTTTGTTCTTCCTTCACTCTCCTCCCATCCATTCACCCCATCACCATGATGCAGGGGAGATGGCCTCTCCGTTATTGCATAGGGTCCCTTGGAGGGAACGGATACGTCTCTCTGGGCACTGTCTGAATCTTTTAGCAGAATGCAGTCATGCTTTTGGTGTTTTGGTGACTCATGCTGAACTAGTAATCTTCTAATTTCAGGACGGGATTTTAAATCCTCATGCTGCCTCTTGTACTTGTGCTGCCTGCTGTGACGACATGACTCTGGTGAGTTGTAGGTTTCATATCCAGTGGTTTAAAAACAATTAATCAGTCAAGCTGCCACAGCCATTTGCGAGCAGATTATGAGTGTCCTAGAAATGTTCACGAGTACTGTGGTTGCAGCATGCTTTGTCCATGCTTCATAAAGAAAGGAGATAAGGAACTGCTAGCACTATTGTGTAGCAGCCTCAGTAAAACTGGGTGATAATTAATGCTTTTTTTCCTTTTTTTTTTTCCTTTTCTAAATTATGTGTTTATGTAAAATGCCTTTTGGAGATGTCAATGCTATTTGTGATTTTTGACTCAAATGTCATAATTTTTTGAGCCGGAAGAAATGTTTTCATAAGGAAGTAATGTAATACTCTGTGTTGGATCCATAGTTTCATATTCAACTGCTTGCTTGCTTGCTTGGTTAGTTTGGGATTTGTTTTGTTGTTTGTTTGTTTAAAAAGTGAGACTAAAGTCCTGAAAGCAGAAGTCTTCAGTTTGACTTGAAGTAGTATTTTGCGTTTCTTTTCTGCTATGAACTGGATCACTTGCTTGTTTCTCAGACCTGAAACTAACTTCTTCCTGTCCTCTCTTCACTCTCGTTCTCTTTTCTTCCACCAGCTTGGCCAACAATCAATTATTAGCCTAGTTCTGCTCCTGAAATAATAGTGGAAGGAGGCTGAATCTGTGCCTCTTCAGCTGGAGGGAGCCGAGAGTAACTTTTCTTCACAGAGTTCTTTTGGTTTGCAGAAGCAGAAGTCTTTTTGTCAATTGTAGCAAACCACACATATTCCAAGGGAATACATGCTGCTTGACTGTAGCTGCATCTGGAAAGACAAGAAGTAAACCCCAAGTCCCTGAAGAAATGCCTCAGCTAATTCCTTTCCCTTTATTCTTTTTCTTTTCTTTTTTTTTTTTGTTTTGCCTAGAGTGGCCCTGTACGACTCTTTGTACCATATAAAAGGCGAAAAAAAGAAAATGAAATGCCTGCAACTGCAGTGAAGAAGGACTGCCCCAAAAACATCACTCTGCTTCCTGCCACAGCTGCTACTACATGTAGGTTCTTCTTCCTGGTAAAAATTGCTTCCGTTCTTTGATGAAGAATTGCCACACTAGATATTTTATGTCCACCAGTGGCCCCTTGCAACTGAACAATGGAGAAAAGTGTCTCTCTTTTTTTTTTTTTTTTTTCCCCCACTTCCTTTTCATTGGACAGTTTAATTGGCTCAGTGTCTTTAGCGAATTTCACTTCCTATTTTGTAGAAACTAGCACAGCGTTGCCACATTGGGACGGCAATTGAGTAGGAGACATTGCAGCTCTAGACCTCTAGGAGATTCAGTTTTAAGCATCTTAACGTCCTCTTGCAGTGAGCAATAGGTTGCATATTTTTTTCTGAGAGGGGTCTGAATTATATTTCCCCCCTCTACCTGCTCTCTCAGCCTGGCAGTGCAGAGGGAGTTGTGGAGTCCTGACCTTGATCCGTAGTGGGTTTCAGATAGGTTTTCCACAAATTACAATTGAGACATTTCCTTCTGTTAAAATTAGGTTGAGGGGAAGGCTGGGCCTTCTCTGCTCTGCCAGAAATCCCCTTTCCATCCCCTGAACTTAATTTTTGTACTTTAGAAACTGGTGGGGGCTAAGGGATAAGATTCATGCTATTTCTTGAAATATATAGAAAAGTAGGCTCTAAGCAGCTGGAAGAAATCCGCAGCCTGGAAGTCATTAATGAAAGAGGCAGAAAGTGATGCTTTCATCTGCAAATTCCTCTGTAACATTCACGACACGCTTTGTTACTTACTGTTTTGATTGTCAAACCATCTGTGTGAGAACAGAAATTAATTTGCAAGCTCATCCAGCTCACACGTTCCCAATCACATTCATGTGTCCTCCTGCTCTCATCACAATAGCATCATCTGGACAGTAACATTGCAAAGCGAATGAGGACGAAGCAACAGAAATCCAAAAAAGAACAGGCAAAAGTAAGATTAGATAATCAGCAACAGCAGGAAGAGAAATATGCAAGGATTCTGGAGAGTTGGGTTTAGTGGGTTTTTTTTAATCCCTCAAAGAGGTTTAATCTGTATTGGTTCATTAATGTGAGGTTTGCATGTTTGCTCACACTCGCATTGAGAAGAGAGGAGGGCTGCTTGTTTTGGTAGCAGCTGGATATTTCACCAGTCATGAATCTGTAGCCTCAATGTCTTAAAATGAAATTATTGTTTGTGAAAAGATCCTTCTGACTGAGCAGTGTGCCACAGAAGCAGCCCATTACCTATTAATGTTGCCAGATTAATTAAACCTGTTTAAAAATTAGAGTTTTAAACATATTGGAGCCACTCAAGTGTGTTCATCCAAAAGGATTTTGTGCCTTGTGCCTTGCATTGTCCAAGCATGTTACATCACTCTGTGTAGATGTAGATAGGCAGCTAAAGTTGTCCAGCTAACCAAACTGTCACAGGATTAGTTGTAATCCACAGGTTTTTTATGCTTATTAAAGTAGTAAGAACCACTCTTGCTAAAGTTGTAATAAATTATGATCAGCCAGAAACCGATGGGTTTTGCGGCCCTGCTAGGTAGGTGTTAAGTTATTGCTGGTGTAATAATTGAAAAGGTGGTGATTTGGGAGGGATTATGTTGTAAGTGAACGTTCTGGCCTCGTACACACAGAGAATAAACAGAGGCCTGCAGGAGGACAGCAGTGCCTTCCAAAGCCAAACAGGGCTTTTATTCCCGTTTCTAATTGTATTGGTCATAGGTGCGATCCAAGCTTGGGTTATTGCAGGCTGTGTACTGATCTGGGAGCTCTCTGACTTTGAATGATTCAGAACAGGGATATCAACAGCTAAACAACCAAGGCCCCTGCGCTGAATGTTAATTATGAAAGTACTTCTAATATTTCCAGTCACCGTGACTCCTTCTGGACAGATCACTACTTCCGGTGCTCTGACATTTGACCGTGCATCGACAGTGGAAGCCACAGCAATTATCTCAGAAAGTCCATCCCAGGGTGATGTTTTCACTGGAGCCGCTGGTAAGAGTTCAGGTCTATGTCTGCAGACATCCATGAGGAGGAGTAGAAAACGTTTCGATGCCCACTGCTATAGGAAGAGCATTTTGAATGCTGCACAAAGGATTTACTTCTCAAGAGCTTACAGAGAGACTATATGTAACTCACTGTCCTTCCTTTGACATGATGTCAGCAGCTTGAAATCTTGGCAGTTGCACAAAAGAAGTTTAAAAGTTTTGTCCAGATGTTGCAGCTGCTAATGTACACCTCTGCTGATTTCTGGGGTTTTATGGTCATCTCTGTCATTTTTTTCACTCCTCCTTCGTCCTAAAGTACTACCATTAAAAAAAAAAAACCTAGCTGAGTGTTGAAACTAAGTGGAAAAATGCTGAATAAATGCTGAAAAAATGCCAGAATAAATCAAACAAAATATAAATGCATGACATATATTTCAGTTCTTGTCTGTTTGATTCATACACGGGGTTGTGAGCTCTGCTGAGGGAACTATCCTGCTCTGAGAACCAGAGTTTGGGAGTCCTGTGATTATTGTAAATATATAGGTGTGTGGGAGGGAAGCCAGCAGTAACCTTTGCCTTTAAAAGTGAAAACAGAGAGAGATGAAATGGGTGCAAGGTTGCCTTGCTTGCTAACTGCATAAGATCGTGCTAGTGTTTCTCATTTGCAACCCTTGGAATTATCGTGGAGTGTAGGAACTTGTATAAAATGTAAAAGAATAGGGGTGAAAGAAGCATAAGAAATGCCTGATAGCTGTGTTATACAGTGATTCATAACACCGTTGTTCTTCTGCAGTTCAAGATACCAACGTCCAGCAGCCTTGCCGGGTCAATCACCCAGAGCCTCACTATCCAAGTTACCAGGACAACTGTCAGATTTCACCTTTTCCTGAAGCTGCACTGCCGACATCTCATCCCAAAATTGGTATGTTTTGTGTCAGTTGTATGAGACAGTTAGCAGTGCTTGAATCTACTCTCTAATGTTCTTTCTCAGCAAAGGTAAAGACTGAGGCAAAAAACCCAAACTGCTTTGTTTCGCTTATGAGTTTTGCAGTTACTAAGATTTGGACACACAGATTTTCCACTCTGTGGAAAGTTTTGCACTCTATTATTGAGAGCTTTGATCTGTTGGTTTCTACAAGAGTAGACTGTTGTGATCCTGCTTCCTAAATCACGTTGCAGTCCCTTGCCTTTCCTAAGGCTTTTGCTTCAAGGCTTTTGTCACCACTTGGGCACTGTGGCTAAACATTTATTTGGTATTTGATCTGAAGAGACCATCCCCTTTAAAATTATGTCACAGAAGCTTTGCTAAACATTCTCACATCTCTTCATGACTCCACTGATACATCCTGGACGCAGTTTTGGGTGAGTTTGCTATGCTGGTCTCTCATCCAGTGTCATTTTTCCATCCCTTAATGCTGATGTTTGTGCTGGAATGATAGGTACTGGTTAACAAGTGCAGTGAGAACCTGCCCTGCTCTGGTCAAGTAGACTGGAGTGAAAAAAGAAAAGATGATATGAAAATGACAAATGCAAATGGGCTCTTTAGTGTTCGATGATGGGTTAAACTGATTATCAAGTATCTCTTCAAATGTAATTATATTATGTAAACTTAATGACCTTTCCTTTGTAGAGCTCACTGATAAATTAAGTGAACTACAATGCTATTTGAGTGTTGCCTTTACTGATAGAAACTGGAAGCGTTGAAGAAATTAGAATTGCAAACTTGGCACGTTGGTTTTGCTTTATGTGTTTTTATCGAGTCTGGACAAGAGATACAGCAGGGAATAGTCTGCCACTGACTGGCTGATGGATTAGGCGATTCACAGGCCTTTTACTTCTCTGATTTCTATGGTTCTGTGAAGTTACTCTGATACCTGCTCATCTCCCTGACACAGAGGAGCTGTAAGACAGGCAGGTTTTGATCCCCGCTGCTGTTCTCTCAGAATTCAAGAAAAGATCATGTAAACATGTTGTATTCCTTTGTGCAGTCTGAAGTCTTTCTTTTTTAAAGCCTCTGTTCTTCCCTTTGTATGACCTTTTATGTACTTATTAGGAGCCGCACAGTGCATTCCTCCAGAATGAAATCTTGTTGGTTTTAAGTCTTAGTCAGGTCTTGATGTTACTAATTAAACATTGATTTCTTTTTTTTTTCACCAGTGAATACTTTCTCTAGGCTGATATGCTTATGCCAAAATGAGGAATGGGAAGTAATTCCCATTAGATAAGTTATCAAATGACATGCTGGGATAAATATTGTGCTGGAAATGTAGCAGCATGAAAGGCTCTTCTGCAAACAGCTACTGATAAAAGACCAGGTTATCTCTTGCTCATATCTAAGTGCAAATAGTTCTACGCCAATCATGTGCAAATGAATTGAAATTACTGTTTTAATTAAGAGCCGCTGGCTGAGCATAAAATGTCCGTTGGCCTCTTGGGTGAATTTGCAATGCTGTCTGTCAGAACAGGTCACCCATCTAACACACCGTGACCCGCAGAACCGTGGTTTTGAGACTTCTTCTCTCTCTCCAAATCCGTGCTGGATTCTCTGAGCTTTTGCTGCCTGCATGGAAGCTACCAGATATGACTTGAAAAGCATTTAAAGTGTTAATACACTTAATTAGTTGCTGTCTTGGAAGATACCCTCTGTTCAGTGCAGTCTTGCAAGCAGTCTTGTTTGTCTACAGATGCTTTAGTAAAGAGACTTTCATTGTGAGTGGAACGGCTGGAATTGCAGCCTGGTACAGGAAGGTGCGTTGGCTTGTTGCTGTCCAGGACAGTATTTACAGTTGTTTTCTTCAGGACAGTTTCTTCAGTTGAATTTTAAGTACCGTTTGAAGTGTAGTCAAGAAGATTTTTTTTTTCCTGAAGGGGGGGGTGGGGGGTGAGGGTCTCCTGTTCTATATTTTTAACTAGGCTGTACAGTTTGCTATTCTGCATCCCTGTCCTTCAGTGAGAGAGGTTTTTAGGCTTGTTTCTGCCTTTCTTTTTGGTGCCACCTTAGACAGACCTGCATGCCAATATCTGAAATAACATCCAAAATGGATTGTGATGGGAGACTGATAATAAAGTAAATGAGAATAAAGTGCCTTCAAGACACTTCAGCCTCCACATTTTGTTCAGGAACTTCCCGCTTAGTGAATTTCTCAACTCTGGTTTCAGAGAAAAGAACCTGGCTCAAATTTTAATTAAAACAATGGTCGCTGCCCAGCAGTGGCAGCTGTCTGCAGGGCACTCACTCTCTGTTTGTGCTGCAGATGCTCAAGGACATTGTGCGTTATCAGCTGCCTGGCAGTAGTGCTAGAGGTGTTGAGAGTAGTGCTTCTAAAACAAAAGCAGACCCTGGTGGCATGCAAACAGGATTGAAATGTCTCAGTGCTTCTGAAGTCAGTTTCCCGGCTGTGTTGAGGACCATAGCATCCATCAGTTAGAGTGGTCTTGTGTTTATTATATGAATGTGTCACTCACTATTTTAAAATCAAGGAAGTTGATTGTCTTTTGGTGCCTGGAATACTAACAGCTCTTCCCTTGAAAATGCAGAACTATCCAGGAAGGAATGTGATTTCTCAGCCTGCAGTACTTACTGCTTTTTCTGTATGCTGAATTGTGTGAAACCCCTACCTAAAAATGTGAGGAAAAATCCTGAAATAAACTATTAGTATTTGGGGTAATAAGACTGCACAGCCTCAAAGTTGGTGGTGCTCTCTCTTTTCTAGTAAACAGTGTAGTGAGAATTTAGAGGCCAGCTGTTGCTAGATGTGAACGTCTTGGACTTAATTTTATGGCAGATGGTGAGTGTTTATTGTTAAATTTTGGAAAAGTAAGGCCAGTAAATCCAGATAACATTTGTTCCTGGAAATGTTGCCTGAGGTGAGCTTATGCTGTGTATTGTTGGGTTACTGGATTTAATTTCCTCATGCTGGTCTTCCAGCGTACATGCAAGCCTAGTTTGTGAAAAGGAGATGTTTTAGTGACACAGTAACTGCTGTTTTTTTGAAACATTTGCAAAGGTGAGGATAAGACAGATGTTTCTAGGACTTTAGAATTTTCTAAAACAGGCTTTGAGAAAGGGAGGACTGCAGAGCCCCGATAATTGAGGGAGTTGGAGGTAAGTTCAAGGAAAGTGCGATTAGATTGCCAGGGTAGGAGTTTAGTTTTGTTCTGGTGGCTTCCTACAAACTGCACTTGCTGTTAAAGTTATGATTAGGTTATGAAAAAGTGAAGGCTTCAGCATCTCAATAACTGGTGGGATTTTTTTCTTAACGTCCCTTGGAGTATTGCTGGGCTTCTGTGCTTTTGTATTTTGTTTCATACCTGTAGCATTCTAGTTTACACAAGAGTGAGGAATTTTAGTTAGGGTTCTGGAGGAAAGGGCCATAGACAAGAAATTTCTTTCTTGAAAACTGTCCAACACAGTCAATGTAAAGCAAATGTTAGGAGATGTTAGTGTCTGAAGCTAAAATTTCCATCTGGACTGTATACATTTACTCTCACCTTTGGGATTAGGCAAGGGGAAGTTTCAGAGCTGCAATGAGCATTGCTGTTCAGAGTACCCAGGATATTTGACACAGATATGGACAACTGTGAACACCTTTTACTAAAATCTTTGGTGCTTCAGTGTGGCACGTGTATTTTTATGGCCGTAGTTTGTTTCATGGATAGGATCCAGGATGAAGGGGTCCAAAGAAATTACAATTATTGAGAGTTTTTATAAAGGGCTTCCCAACTGGTGGTTTTGGAAAGTGGGTGTTTGTAATACATGTAATTTTGAGGTGGTGATAACTGTCTTGGTTCTGTTCCAGTCTTGGGCCAGGGTTATGGTTAAGATGAGAATTGAGGAAATATAGAGGAGCGTGGTGTGGACTGGTGCCTGGTTTTTGTAGTTTTGCAACCTCAGGATTGACGTGTCTATAGTGACATCAGAATATTTCAGAAGACTTGACGTTTAGGGTCACTGAATGACTTCTTATAACCTTAGTTAGCTATAGTTAAGGGAAACATTGGATGGAACCTTGTGATGATAGCGGCAGAGGAGTCCCTCGGAATGCTACTTTCACTGCTTAATTGTGCAGCTGGGCTAGGAGGTGTTAATTCCTTCCCAGAGGAAACAATAGGGTCAGGAGTACATGTTCTTCTGTCCTTTGGGTTTGAGAGTGCCCCAAAGGGCTTGTTCTGCACAGACCGATTCTGTGCACTTTGGGTCACAGAAGGTAGGTCTCTTTAGAAAAAACTTAGCCAGACTGGAATTTTTTGCAGACCATATTTTTTTAAAAGAGCAACTAAACAACACACACACACAAAAAAAAAAACCCACACAAAAAAGCCCACGTTATGGAAATGAAATTCTCTAATTCTATATATTTTCTTTTTCTTTCTTCATATTCAGTGTTAACCTCACTCCCTGCCCTGGCAGTGCCCCCTACGACCCCCACCAAAGCCATATGCCCTTCGGTGGTGAATGGGCTAGAAGTGACGGAGCAGCGGAGCTGGCTCTACTTGGAAGAGATGGTCAATTCGTTGCTCAACACCGCCCAGCAGCTGAAGACTCTCATCGAACAGGCCAAACAGGCCAGCTCCTCCTTCCGTGAGGCTGCTGTCACACAAGCAAAAATTCAAGCTGATGTGGAGAGGAAAGAGGTAATTATGCCAGAGCAGGTGAGAAGACTCAGCCAAGGGCATCTTTTTTGGCCGAGTGATGAACAGAGTAGCACCTCCGTGGTTGTCACTGGCTGTAACAGTCGTAGCCCTTAAGAATTGTTTCTCAATGTCTTGAGAGGAGTATTACCACAAGAAATCTTTCTGAGTTATTTGTATCGTGGGGAAAGGACTAGAGTGCTGTGGGATTCCAATAGCTGTGGGGAGCAGGCTAGTAATACAAACTGCTTGGTGTTATGAGTCCTGAGCTGTCCCATCAGCCATCCTTAAATTTATGAGATGTGGGCACTGGATCCTGATACAGGAAAGATGGTGAATGTTCAGCTGCTTTCTTTATGGCAAGTGAGTGGGGCTATCAGAGAGGCTTTCAGTGGCCTGAAGAGGCAGAGGGATAAAAAGAACAGTGAGCTGTAGTTTAGGGGAAGATAAGCAGTGAAATGTAGAGGTGCCTTGCTGAGCACTGTGTAAGCAAAGCTGATGTCGCATGAGTCCTGTGGTAAGACTGCAAGGCCGGCTGGCATTACAGGAGTATTGACTTGTACCCAGTGGCCCTTCTCTCCTCTGTAAAGGATTATCTACAAGGACTGCCCTGTTCTCCCTGCTTTTCTTCTCTTTAATTGATGCATGGTAGGGACCCTGGATTCTTCTTAACACCAGCTCATGCATGCACCCTGAATCTGACTCCATGCACTGCTGAATGCTTTCCCCTTCTCCCCTAGATCCACAGCTGCTGCTGTGGACTTGAGGGAGAGAGGTGGGGGGCAATGTACTGTGAAACTGGTGTCACTGTCGGTAGCTGATGAACTCCCTTCCTGTACACCATGCTATCTGCTGTTGCCATCGGCGTTATTGCTAACGTCAGCTTTCCACTGAATTCATAGGCACGAGTGTGCAGCAAGAGACCTTGAAGAAATGTGTGTGGGAAGACTTTGCTGAGAACTGAGAACCCCTATGACAGTCCTTGCAGCGTCTTTGATATTCTTTGCCACGTTGTCTCTCCTAAACTCTTCTGTACGCTGCATCCTTGATGTGCAGGTGTGTGATACGTTGAGAGTCTTAATTCTTCCCTGCCTTTCACCTGGGCAGAATGGGTATTCCTG